TAAAATAAAATAAAATAAGTCCTCAGACATTGTTCTGATTAGCTTCACTGACTGAAGTAAGTTGCAATGATTTAGCCACCAAGATGGCCATCAGCCCTTTGCTTTTTCACTCATTAACTTTCTCCTTTAGGCTGCCCTTTTTCTCCATCCTCAGGAGGCTATGAGGTGCTAATCACTATATGTAGAACAATCGTCCTCCATATTATACGTTATGACATCTTTCTTCTAGACTTCATTCCTAAATCAAATAGTTTCATGTCTGCACCAGAGACTCCCCCCATCTACTGCACAGTGGCCAACCAAGGAATGGCTGGGTTTCTCCACACAATTCAGAGAGCTCTCATACTCCTTGGGACCTCCAGTATTTTGGGTTGAATTTTAAGAGGTTAAGAATTTCACTAAATGGTTCTTACTTATAGCATCAAATGGATGAGCCAATTTCCATCCATTTAATTTAGGTTGGTCAGGAGTTCAGAGAAGACATCAGAGGTTAAATAGGAAACTGGTGAACACTGATCTCTTTGAAGGAACATATTGAGAATTCCTCTCCTAATATCAGCACTCATGAGAAGCTCATTTAAAGACATGATATGCTTACCAACCAGCCCCCTCATGCCTGGCCAGATGTAAACTGAGGAGTACCCATCATTCTTGAGGTATGTGATCTGTTAGCAAAAGAAGGGAGCGTGTGCCATGTTGGCAGAGCGGTGCTGAGGTGCACCTGACTCCCTGTGGAGAACTCACTGAGCTGTAGCAGGATGGAGAGTTTCTTGAAATGGTGGAATTTGAGCTTGCCTTCAGGAGATCTTTGAGGAGTAGGTTGAAAGGAAAGGAGATCAAACTTCCAAGAGGCATGAGTAGGTTCAGCCTGGGTAAGAAGCCACATAATGGGACCTGTAGGCTGGACATGGTACATGCTTTAGAGATTATAGAAGCCAGACATGAAGAAGGACCCTTTGGAATAAGTACAAGATGTCCAGTGGCAGACATTATTGCATGCCTTTAGGTAAGCTACTTAAACTCTCTGAAATCTGGGTGCATTAATTTGCAATATGAAGGTAAACCAATGTCTTACCCCTGAGGGTAACTATTGAGTTCAAGTGGAAATTCTTTGAGTGGAAATTCTTTGTAAAGGTGAATTCCTCTGTGCTGATGGATGATTACAGTGGCCAAGTGGTGATGGGTGATTATAGAACCACAGTGTTTTGTGCTAAAAGTAATCAAAAGCTGGTCTAACCTGTCACATTTTACCAATAATCTGAACTAATGTGACTTAGCTGAGCTAGTTAATAGCATAGCAGGGTCTAGAACCCCACAGTGCTGGATTGAGGAAAGTAAAAATCGCAAGTCCAAATCAATTCCCCAGCTGCCTGGATTTCCCATCTGGCATCAACTCAATTGGGTAACTTGGGTGAAGAGCAAGCTTCTGATCCGCCTGATCACTCCAGAGCCTCACCTGGCACCATGGAGTGTTCCAGCACTCGAAGCAATGGTTCTGACTCCCTGTGCCATGCTTGGGGTCACATTCCATCTCACAAATATTTAAGCCAGGGTGTGAGGGCAAGTTGCCAGGTGGCACAAAGCAAAACAAATGCCTCGTTGTGTTTGTTGCCACGCAGTATGTGGTTTTGTGAGATCTGAAAGCCATCCAGTCGCTGTGACTGGAATATGACAGTAATTTGTAACAACGGTGACTCTATTCCCTCCCTCCTTGGTCTACTTTTTGTGACATGCTCCAAAAACCATGAGAAAGGCCTGCAAAAGAAATGTTCAGAAATGTTCTAAATGGGTTTAGAAAACTTGTGAACCCTGCCTGAACTTTTATTAGATTCTCCCACCACTCACCCGTTTGACATCAGAACAAGGAAAGCATTATTTATAACAGCGTGTGTGAAATCCCAGAAGGGACGCTTGAAAGAATTAACATGAAAAATGTGTCCCGAAGAGACTGCAAGCATAAAACAAATGATCAGATGGGAAAACATGTAAATCAAAATTTGAATGTTTTTTTCCCCCTCCTATAAAGGAAACAGGAGCTTTTTTCTTCAGCCATGAACAACACGGGGTAGAGAGACTGGGAGGTGCCCCCATCACAGGGGTCCCAGAGCACTTGCTACTGCAGAGGGAGCCATCTGTGAGAGTCTTGTGTGTTCGCTTTTTTAATGTCTCCAGAATGGAGGAGCTAAGATGTACCAAAAGTTACAGAGAAGCAAGACGCACCCTGAATTCCTTTGTGCATTGAGATTTATAAGGCATTTTCACAAATATTGTCTGAGTGTTTACCTCATGGTAAACATGGGAGGTATATATTGTTACCTCTATTTTATAGTTAGACAGCTAGAACACAGGGAGTTTTTGGCAACTAGTCAAGGATACCTAGCTAGGAAAGAGTGCACTGGAGTGCCCTGGAAACTAGCTTCTACCATCATGAACTGAGCGCTGTCCGTGGCATCACCGGTAAGAATGCATAAGAATATGGAAAGTATGGTATCTTACTAAGTTAACACATCCCACAGTGTGTTTTTAGTTGTCTGATTCTAGATGTATGTAAGCTAGTCTCTCTCTCTCTCTGTCTCCACCCCCACCCCACACAAACACTCATTCAACTTAGTTTAATTCACTAAGTTAAACAAAATTAAATCTGTTTTTTCCACCAAACTTCTGAGACACTTGAAGAAGGCTCCGTGCTTCATGACTCTCCAAGAAGTGAAACAAGTTACAGCTTCTAGCATATTTGACATAACCTTTGTGGTGAGCTAGCTCTTCATAGTTTGAGGCCGGTGGTATCCAAAAGAATATCACATCTTTGTCCATAATTTCCTACCTATCTTTTTATCCCCTATAGACCAACTATATATTGATCATAAATCTGGGTTCTATTTTCAATATTCCCATAAAATAAATAAATATGTGTTGTTCACTAAAAACCTCCACAGAGGGGTGCCTGGGTGGCTCAGTTGGTTAATCGTCCAACCGTTGGTTTCCATCCAGGTCATGGACTTGTGGTTCTTGAGTTCGAGTCCTGAATCAGCCTCTGTGCTGACAGTGCAGAGACTTCCTGGGATTCTCTCTCTCAATCGATCTCTCTCTCTCTCTCTCTCTCTCTCCCTCCCCACCCACCCCCCCATGCCAAAATAACTAAACATCAAAAAAAAAAAAAAAACCTGCACAGAGACCTCACACTCCAAGTGACTGTGCTCCTTAATTGCCATAAAGCTTCTTCTTGGTGCTGTTATATGGCTGTCAGCACCTGAGGGGACCATTCCACCTTGGTGCCCTGAGTCCTCGTGAGTAACTGGACACATTGGGAACTCCTTGTGTATTGGCAGATTTCCTTTCACCAAAGCCTTGGGTCCATGGGGTTACAGAGCTGTGAGTTGGGCAGTTACTCAGTAAGCCAACATGGCCTCACTGATATGGCCACTGGCATCCTTTCTGGTCCATCAATGCCTATGTCACACAAGTTGTGTTCTGAATATCAAGTCTGATAGTAAATATTGACATCAATTTCAGGCATGCCCAGGCAGCTCCATGAGAGAAGTCTGTGCTCCTGGAACAGTGACTACCTGTCACTGCATGGTGAAAAGCCAGGGAGGACATTGAAAGCTGATGGAAGGCAACCTACCCCTACTTAGTATATGATGGTAAAGATCTGGAGCCACCTTACCTCTGACCCAGGAATTTATGTCCTTACTGGTCAGATCTGGGGTCCTTGTACATAGAGAATGGACAAAAAAAAACCTCCACAAAATGCCCTCCTCCTTTGACACTCAAGGTTTCTTTGATGTTAAGAGCATCATTGGAAATCACTGAGCATATTAGACATCTCTGACACTCAGCAACTTGGGCTCAGGAGTTGAGCAGCATTTTTCAGGTACTATTAGTCCATTTCTTCCCTTTAATGAGTCAGAAATGGACACTGACGATTGTAACTGGACATCAGTCTAAGAGCTCAGGGGCAGACAGTTGTTGTGGGGTCTAACTCCTGTTGTCTACATGCCCACCAGCTACCCCACCATCAGGCAGAGCATCTGAGCTGGTAGTGCTGGATTTTTTTGGCCTGAAAAGTGGGACCTGCCACTCCTAGGGCTGCCATGCAGAAATTTCATCATGGTTTTAAAATTAGGCATCCCCGATGTGCTACAGACCCCAAAGTGAAATTTTTAACTTTTCTCTGAGAAGTAAGAAATCATAAACAAGTGTCCTTGTCAAACAGAGTATTCTGTGCCTGTGCTAAAGCCTTTGCCATCTAACACCTCAGCCTCAGTGTTTTTACTAAAGTGAGCTTTTTCAAAACTGGGTTTATTTATTTGTTTTTGTACAGAAGTTCAATTATAGTAAAGTCCTAAGCTTGGAGTCCAAAGACCTGACTTCTTTGTGTCCATAGCAATCTGAACCTCAGCTGCCTTGTCTGTAAAATGGGAATCCTCATTTCTGCCCTGCCCATGGCTGGATTGTGGCCAGAGTATTTGAGGCAGCACTGTGCACTCATCTGAAGATGTTCAAGTGGAAGGAGGCTCTGGCCTTGCTAAAAAAGTTGAGTCACTTGTTGGGTCATTTTGGACACAGAGCCCCCTACTTGTTTCCGGGTCAAAATGATTGTGTTAATTAGAAGATTGATCTTGAGCCCTCTTCATACCAGAAAAACACGTGTGTGCATGTGTGTGTGTGTGTGTGTGTCTGTGTGTTTTATCTATGATGAACATCTATCAAGTCATCATCTCTGTCCTACCTAGTTTTGAGAAAGAAAGAATAGGAAACAATATGAAAAAAATACTTGGACCACTCTTTGCCCTCTCCTTCTGTTGACTGAGATGATAAAGAAATTGTATTTTCATCATGTATTTATAAATAATTAAAGTTAATAAATACAAATAAAGGAAAGGGACAAAGTGCCCCCCTTCCCATTTCTATCCTATACTTTTCCTGCTGATGGTGGGGACTTGGTTATCAGGTGACTGACCCCCTCCTGTTCCCCCCCGCTTCTCCAACAGGTCGGTGGCCACACAATGTTGCCCATTCGTTGGATGCCTCCAGAGAGCATCATGTACAGGAAGTTCACCACAGAAAGTGACGTCTGGAGCCTGGGAGTCGTGTTGTGGGAGATCTTCACGTACGGCAAACAGCCCTGGTACCAGCTGTCGAACAACGAGGTGCGCGATGGGCTGGGCGTGACCCCTGAGGGCTGACGTCGACAGGCATGCCTTGGCTGGAGGCCAGGAGACGATGTTGTGTGGCCTTGTTGGGAGTGTCACCTCCCACATGGCCTGCCCGGTACCTAAATGTCATGGCCAAAGTATCATCACTCCCTGAATTTAAGAGTTACAGAGAATGCAAAGCAGCATTTGCTGACACACTTGAGATTCACCAGTGATGGGACTGAGGAATCACTTTGTGCTGCTCATCTGGTAAATTAATAGCAGATGTGCTATGTCCTCGCCTTCCGAGCCCAGCTAGATTTTTTGGTAGTATTCCAATAAGGTTGCAGGACTCTCTCTCTCTCTTTTTTTCCACATTTCATTAGAACATTGTAGTGTTTTGTTTCACTATTTTATTATTTTGTAAATATGTCTGTATGTGAGACATAGCTTCTTGGTCAGGCACCTCCCATCTTCCTCAGGCCCTTCAGGACAGTTGTGGATCTATCTCTTATTCCAGCTTCAAAATCCAGAATAACCACTTATTTCTACAGCTCTGAGTTCCCTAATCAGTCAGTGCCCTGACATTAAAATTCCAGATTCCATCTCAGGCCAGTAAGACTAAAAACATGTTGGAATTCCAGACTGAGGTCTAGAAGCACCCCACAGAGAGATAGCATTTCTCCACCAGTGTGGTGACGTCAGTGCAGTATGAGAAAGGGATAGAAACCAATCAAATTAACCACGATTTACCAACCCATGATTATTGCTATCTTGCGTCTAAAAAAAGTGAACACTGAGTGGGTTTCTTTTTTTCTTTTTATGTTTTAATTATTTCTGAGAGAGAGAGAGAGAGAGAGAAAGAGAGCATGAGCAGGGGAGGGTCAGAGAGAGATACAGAATCTGAAACGGGGGGCGCCTGGGTGGCTTAGTCGGTTAAGGTCAGACTTTCACTTAGGTCATGATCTCGCAGTTCGTGGATTCGAGTCCCGTGTCGGGCTCTGTGCTGACTGCCAGCTTGGAGCCTGGAGCCCATTTCAGAGTCTGTATCTCCCTCTTTCTCTGACCCTCCCCTGCTCATGCTGTCTCTCTGTCTCTCTCTCCTAGAAATAAATAAAAATATTAAAAAAAAAAAATCTGAAACGGGCCCCTGACTCTGAGCTAGCTGTCAGCACAGAGCCCGACGTGGGGCTCGAACCCACAATCGTGAGATCATGACCTGAGCTGAAGTCGGACGCTTAACCGACTGAGCCATCCAGGCGCCCCTGAGTGGGTTCTTTAGAGCAGCCCTCTCCTTGCACAGACATTTGTTGCATCTGCACTGTTTCTCCTCTTGTCTGACTATGTCTTTGGTCTCCGTCTCATCCAGGTGATAGAATGCATCACTCAGGGCCGAGTCTTGCAGCGACCTAGAACGTGCCCCCAGGAGGTATATGAGTTGATGCTGGGGTGCTGGCAGCGAGAGCCCCACATGAGGAAGAACATCAAGGGCATCCACACCCTCCTTCAGAACTTGGCCAAGGCATCTCCGGTCTACCTGGATATTCTAGGCTAGGACCCTTTCCCCCAGACCGATCCTTCCCAAAGCACCTCCTCAGATGGGCCGAGAGGATGAACGTCTTTTAACTGCCGCTGAATGCCATCAATCTGCTGTTCTTCACTCCGACAGTATTAACACTGAGAGGCTTTCAGAGGGAAGCCATGTGCACTTTTCCATCCGTAGACGCAGTATGGACTTCTTTTTGGCATTATCTCTTTCTCTCTTTCCATCTCCCTTGGTTTCTTCCCCAGTTTTTCTTTTCTTTTCTTTTTTTTCTTTTGTCTCTCTCCTTTTTTTTTTTTTTTTTTTTTTGTCTTCCTTGCTTTACAGTCCTTACCCTTTCTTTTGAACCAATCTGGCTTCTGCATTGCTATTAACTCTGCATAGACAAAGGCCTTAACAAACCTAATTTGTTATATCAGCAGACACTCCAGTTTGCCCACCACAACTAACAATGCCTTGTTGTATTCCTGCCTTTGATGTGGATGAAAAAAAGGGAAAACAAATATTTGACTTAAACTCTGTCACTTCTGCTGTACAGACATCGAGAGTTTCTATGGATTCACTTCTATTTATTTATTATTATTACTGTTCTTATTGGTTTTGGATGGCTTAAGCCTGTGTATGAAACAGAAAAACTTGTGTTTAATCTGGAAAGCCTTTATCTATGGGAGATTAAAACCAGAGAGAAAGAAGATTTATTATAAACCACAGTATGGGAGGAACAAAGACAACCATTGGGATCAGCTGGCGTCAGTTCCTACTTACGAAAAACCCAGCCACTCTTAGCTGGGAGGAATGTATTCGGCACCTTCCCCTGAGGAGCTTTCTGAGGAGTAAAAAGACTGTTGAACTCTGTGCCATGGACTCTTCTTTTCCCATTACCAGAAACACTAGGGTGTTGTAGAGAGAAAAGATGGCTTCCATGGGACGCAAGATGGTGAATCACACGCTCCGACAGTCTTGTCTTTGCAGGTCATGGTGATAGCACTGGTTTGTTTTTCCAAGTGTTGTCCACTGAACCTTTGTCAAGTTCAGCTGAAAATGGGGGCATTCTTGTCCAGAGATCATTTCAGGGTCAGGTGGGAAAGCCAAAGACTTGGAAAAGATAGGACAAGCTATAAATTCGGAGGCATTATATTGAACTTTTCAGATAGCATTTCCCTCCGACCCCTACCCTCCACCCCACCTGTCCTTTCAACTGTGCAAGCAAAATTGTGCATGGTCTTCGTCGATTAATACCTTGTGTGCAGAAATTACTGCTCCAGACGTCGTGCCCCTGATATGTAGAGCAGATCCATAAAAGGTATAACTTATATAATTAGGGGAAGCTAATGGAGTTCATTAGCTACGTATAAATGTCTCTGGGTTGTATGGTGGTGATGGGTTTTAACAAATATTGACCCCAAAGCCTGGATGTCCTCATTCACGTCGAATCAACTGTGGGACTATGGGAAGGGAAGACTCAGTCCCTAAGGGAAAAGAAACCTCACCTTGGGGGCATTGATGCATTGCATTGATGTTAGTGTACACAGGCCAAGACCTTGCTCTGGGCTCTGGTTGGGAGAGTGGTTTCATTCCAAGAGTACTCCATTGTCAGTATGCTGTTTTGGTTTTTTTCACTCCATTAAAAGAAGTAAAACTTCAGGCACAGCATGCCATTGGGAAGCTGTGTCCAGACTGAGCTTCAGAGGTATGCTTCTGGGTAGAGTCACAGGTTTTGCAAAAGAAGGTTGTAAATTTAAATAGAAATTTACAGTTATTTGGATGATCAGTTTTACCAAGGAAGAAAACTATTTCTGTTCCTCAAGAAAACTTGCTACCCTCTGTGAGGGGAATTTTTGCTAACTTGACATCTTTATAACACAAGCCAGATTGAAAGCTAGTGATTCGAATTCATCATAGGACATTTTATTTCATATTTGTTTCTGAAGGTGCAATTGCTCTGTTTAGGTTTTGCTTGTGCCCTTAAATCCTGGAGCACCTTGTTTTCCATGATAGGCTTTGAAAGCCGCTTTTCAAAAAATCACAAGTGTCGATTAACAGAGAACAAAAGGAAAGACAGTAGCATCTACGGTCAAGTGAAGGGGGTTGGATGAAATGAGCCCTATAGTCCCTTCAAGTTCTATGCTGGCCTATGAGACATGGGAGTTGAGTTGATTGTTCTCTTTGTCGGTGGAAAAAATACCCTCCAGAATACACATAATAATATAATGAAAGCCATATCTCCATGATATATACCTGCACGTATATATCCTATTAAGGACCCATGGTACTGTTAAAACACTGTGGCACTCTGGGAAGCAGTAAAGAAGGGGCAGATTTGTACAAAACTTCTTTAGATTCCATCAGTGAGGACCTGAGAACCTGCACACTTTTGTCAATCTGCGTGACTGGCCAGCTGTGTGGGGTGGGAGTGGGGGGACAGGGATGGGGTGGGGTGAAGAAGCTGCAAGTTATTTGTCTTATTTTAACAGAGAGCAAAGGAGGCAAATACGCTAAGGGATCGAATTCAAGAAGGGCTGTGCAGTTTTAAAGAAAGGATTTGTTTAAGGCAAATGAGAAGACGGGAGCATTCTATTCATTCCCATGTTGTGTTTTCTTCTGAAAGCAAAAAGCAAAAATAAATAAATAAATAAATAAAAATTCTCCTTACCTTCTGACAAGTCCCTCAAGGTCTTGAAATGAAAGGTTCTATGCAAGTGCAAAGTTTTATAGTTATTTATATTGCTGACCATTATTCTTATTTTTTCCTCTGTTGTCTCAAAAGTATGTACTGATTTCAGAGACGTCGCGCATTGAAAGAATACCAGATTGAACGAACCACCGAATAGTTTAATGTATTCATCACCATTCTTCCACCATCCCCTCTTCTCATGCTCTTTTAATTTTGAGACAAGGAACATCCTCATCCTATGTAATGATCACAGAATATGGCCTGCTATCAAATTTGTGAAAAACTCCAACAATAGTAGGGGCAAACTGAATTCTCTAGCCCAAACTCAGTCTGACAATCATTTCCATTTACAAATTGTTTAATAGTTTTCCAGACACTTTTCACATCTGTTAGCCAATTATTCCCATTTTTTTAATAAACGAGGGAACTCAGAGAAGTTAAGTGGCATGCTAGAAATCTCCAGGTTAGCTTCTGGCACCAATGGGACTTAATGTGAATGTTCTAACTCTGAAGTCTGTGATTCTGTCCACTAGAGACTCCAGGATACAGACAAACAGTCTGAGAAAGCAAGTGCGCTGATAAATTCATGAAGCAGGACATGAAGTTGGAAGAGCAAAATGAAATACATGAGATGAGAAGCAGCTGAAATATTGTGATATATAATCATGCTTATAGCTTCAGCTACATCCTTGTACACTGAACCAACATCGTAATCAGGCTTATTTAGAAAACACTTTGAACTCTGCTAGAAAAGATTATATCAGAATTCATATTATACATATGCGTTCCCATCAGCGCTACCTGTGGTATTTTCATGTATTTATATGTGTGTTATAAATACTTGATTTATACATATACAAACACACATACATTGTGTGTTTGTGTGCTTATGTATAAATGTATAGGCACACAGTAATAGAGATAATTATGAGTAGGGTGCAGTATGAATAATTTGCTTAAAATCTGCTAAATAATCAAAACTTTTTAATGTCCTATTGCAGTTAATGCTTCCATTCTCCATGTGGGTAGGACTACATCGCACTTTTCAACTCTGCAGTACTGCATGGGTGGAAGACATATTTAAGATAGTGCTTCCCCAAACAACTAAATCAAAGCCATCCCACTACACTGAGTCCTTTCTCTGACTCCTTGCAAAGGAAAATGCAGACTGAAATAGATCTCCTTATGTAAAGGTCCGGGAAAGGAAACTGATTTTTTTTCATCCTTTTGCACATTTGTATCATGCTCACCTTGTCGCACGGTGACCCTTGTACACTTGTGTTCAGAGTACAAGCATTCCAGAAGAGATCCGGAATGTTGGGAGCCCAGTGTCTCAAAGGCCATTGGTGAGAAGTCTAGACCCCATAGCAAGACAAGTGACTCAGGATTTCCCATATCTGAGTGGGAATGGAAGCAACAACCATATAAAATGCTGTCCTTTGCAAAGAGCCATGACAGAGGGATCCCCTGGTCAGGAATAGACTTTTCTTTTGAACTTTTCTTTTTTCGCAAATTGGATCTTCTATAATGCCGATAGTATTAAAATGTATGTCTGATTAAATAAATGATTCCATACATACACACACCCTCAATTCTCTTGTTCTCTCTCTCTCTCTTTCTCTCTCTCTCTCTCTCTCTCTCTGTTTTTCCTATCATTTGAGGATTTTTATTTCCAATGATGAGGTTGGTTTGGCACATTACAGAAAATCTCACAAGGGGAATGGCTGGTGACCTAACTCCTCAGACGGCTAATCTGAAGATAAAGCACTTCCTTCACAGTGCATAACGTGGAATGCAGAGACTCCGAGGTTGTGAGAGCAAATGGTATTCTAAAGAATTAGGGGGTGGTAGGGATTCGTAGTTAAGTATAACAGCACACGAAAGGGTATTTTCTTGTTGTCAAAGCTGGAATAAATCACTGCTGATCAAGTCAAAGGTTCTTGAATACCCTTAGTTTTTGCATTGTCCCCTCCTCTTTCCTTTTAACTTTATTTATTTATGTATTTATGTATGTATGTATTTATTTATTTATATTTTGACTCCATCACAAACACAAAACAAAGCAAAAAATTATATATATATATATATATGTGTGTGTATATGTGTTGCAGGCAAAACACTGTGAATTTCACAACAGCAAACAAGCAACTCTTTTGCCATCTTAACATACGTCTCAGGAGACGAAATGGGAACACATGGGGATGTCATTTTTTTAGTCTATGCATTCTAGGCCAGGTCTGTGTTTGTTTGTTTGTTTTTTCCTTTGGTCCGTGCATTAATGAAAATGATCCTGAATGAAGGTTGGCCAAACGTTAAACATATATAGAGCAAGCATAATAAAAGCTGCTAATAGCCACATGTGTGGATTGGAAAGAAAAATTGGAGAAAATGAAATGAAATGTATAAAGGCCTACATCTTGCAGCTTGTATATCTTACTATTGCTTTAATAATGTATAAAACAACTGGAAATGTTTTAAATACAAGGTCTTTGAATTAAATGTGGATTTTAAACATGTAATCCCTTGACAAATGACCAAATTATGGTGAAATATATTGCTCCCTGCA